TAATTCTTTCATTGCCTGGTCCTAAACTTCATGACAAGCATGGTGGCCTTGAAAAAATAACATTTAGCCTTGCTTATTCAATTGGTTACTTCACCACTTAACCTTAATTACTGTACTTTCTCAAATACACCGACTATATTAGATAGACTTGATTAGGTGTCCTCTATTCCAGAAGCTCCTCAGAGTGTTCAGCAAGAAAAGCAAATTAATGAAACAAATTAGTTTGGACCAACTTCCAACTGTGATCATGATAAAGAAGAGCAAAAATGGCTACAGTATAATCCTATTAAGCAATGGTACAGTGAATACGAGTCCCATGGCAAATCAGAAGCACCCAAGGAATCATAAGGTGACTAGCTACAATATACCAAAAGAGAGAGAACATACAGTAGGCTGTTGCAAACTCAAAAATAGATGGTTATAAATTTCCTAAAAGGATTGTTTTTTCTCATCCATTGACAGCTAAAGACCATGTATATCTTGCTCAATCTGTTCCAGGAACATTTGTTGCTACATTTTTTCACAATGGCAAGAAAAACCAAATGCACAAATATAGTATAGGGAGTACCTTGCTCAATAGTAGTAACTGTGAGAGGGACCTCAAAGTCCTAGTAGACAATCACCTAAATATGAGCCAGCAGTGTGCTGCAGCTGCCAAAAAGGCCAACACAGTGCTAGGCTGCATTAACAGTGGGAAAGAATCAAGATCACGTGAAGTGTTAATACCACTTTACAATGCCTTGGTAAGGCCACACTTGGAATACTGCATCCAGTTTTGGTCACCACGATGTAAAAAAGAAGTTGAGACTCTAGAAAGAGTACAGAGAAGAGCAAAAAAGATGATTAGGGGACTGGAGGCTAAAACATATAAGGAACGGCTGCTGGAATTGGGTATGTCTAGTTTAACAAAGAGAAGGACAAGAGGGGACATGATAGCAGTGTTCCAATATCTCAGGGGCTGCCACAAAGAAGAGGGAGTCAAGCTATTTTTCCAAAGCGCCTGAAGGCAGGACAAGAAGCAACGGGTGGAAACTAACCAAAGAGAGAAGCAATCTAGAACTAAGGAGAAACTTCCTGACAGTTAGAACAATTAACCAGTGGAACAACCTGCCTCCAGAAGCGGTAAATACTTCAACACCGGAGGTTTTTAAGAAGAGACTGGACAGCCATTTGTCCGAAATGGTATAGAGTTTCCTACCTGAACAGGGAGTTGGACTAGATGACCTCCAAGGTCCCTTCCAACTTTACTATTATTGTTATTATTATTACTATTGTTGTTGTTGTTGTTATTACCGTATATTCCGGTGTATAAGGCGACCCGACATATAAGACGACCCCCGACTTCGGTGCCGAGTCACATGCCTAGAAAGTCGTCTTATATGCTGGAAACTACTATTATTTCCAGCGTATAAGATGACTCGGCATATAAGACGACCCCCGACTTCAGCACCGATTTCAACACTTTCGAAAGTCGTCTTATACGCCAGAAAGTACAGTACTTCAAGAGCCAAAATCTCAGGAGAGCATTGGATTGGGAACTCTTGCTAAGGATATGACTTTAGGAAATATCTAGTGGAAGTTAGTCAAACTGGCTTCTCTTTAAATCTAAAGATAGTTACTTCTGAAACCCCCCTGTTACAGTCCACTTAGGTTTTGATTCATGGAAAATACCTTTAAATTTTATTTAAGCTAATAAAATGCATGATAAGATACTTAAAGAATGAGCATAAGAAGTCCTCATCTTACAACCACAATTCAACCCAAAATTTCCATTGCTAAGCAAGATGATTGTTAAATTAGTTTTGCCCCATTTAATGACCTTTCTTGCCATATTTGTTAAGAAAATCACTGCAGTTGGCTTGCTCGTTGATTTGCTTGTCAAAAGGTTGCAAAAAGTGATTACATAACCCTGGGATACTGAGACCATCATAAATACATCCCAATTGCCAAGCATCCAAATTTTGATCCAGTGACATGGGGATGCTGTGTTGGTCAAAAGTTGAAAAACAGTCATAAGTCACTTTTTTCAGTGTTGTTGTAACTTTATAGTCATTCATTCTGACTAGTGCACTTATGCAGGCAATAAGGTGCACTTTTGGTGGGGGGCTTTTTTTGCTGTTTCTGCTATTAGTGTACTATAATTTTAATTCCATCAATGCAAAACTATTACAGTTTTATTCCTGTGAATAATCACATAATTCTTCCCATCGTTGTTTCCATATGCATTTTTCCCTACCCTCCATCTTCCTATATCTGCCTGCTTTTCATTTAGTATATCCTATTTTATCATTTGTGTGTTTTGTTTTGGGTTTTTAGTTTAACAAAAGCCTCATACACAAGTGATCTTCCCTATTTCTCCAGTTTTATTTGCTAAAAATGTAGTTTTTTTAAAAAATATTTTTTTTTGTAAAAAAATTTTTATTTTCAATTTTACATTACATTCATAAAAAATACTTCAGATAAAGAGTAAAATAAATTTATACACACAACTTTCGGTATTGCTCACCCATTTCCCCCCAAACCGCATCCACCCTCTAGCCACTTCTTTCACTTCCCTCCTTCCCTCTTCTTCCTCACTCTCCCCCTCTCCTCCTTCTCCTCAACCTTCCTACTTACTTCTCCCCTTCCTCCTATCTTCTCACTCCGGATGCAGTCCAGGGGAAATGCCCAAGCAATTCCTCTCTCCAAATTAAAACATCAATATTATATACAATAAAACTATTTCTACTTATCTGAACTATTTAACCTCCAACCCATCCTCCCCCCACCCACTCCCCCCCTTCCCCCCCCCCCGACTTCCCAGAACCAAGTACAGGGTTATACAGACATATTAAACATAATCTATTTAAGTTTACTAATTATACAACAACCAAAATCATACTAACCCTTAACTCTCTTCAAACTTTAACATCATAATTTTATAAACAAATCCATTACTCATAAAATAAATGAAACTTTGTAGTTCTATATTTCTTCTGAACATATTCTATCCATCTTCTCCATACAATAACATATCTCTCTTGTGAATGGTCCTTTAAATAAACAGAAATTTTAGCCATTTCTGCTAAATTAGAAACCTTAAATACACATTCTTCTAAAGAAAGCAGAGAGTCTTTCTTCCAATATTTATTAAAAAAAAATATTTTATATTAAAGGACACATTTGAACTATATACCTATATTCCCATTTCATATTATTGCCTATATTTCCAACCTTAAATTCTAAGATATGTAGACTTCAACTTCAGCAGAGAAACAAAAAGAAGCAAATGTAACAAACAAAACACTAAAGGGGGCATGGAATACACAAAAGCTTCTGTTCTTGTCAACAGGACAAATATAGAATGCCTTCCCATTTTCTTTTCTTTTTTTTGTCAAATTTCTCAGTGTTGTTCCACTCTAAATCAGTGTATATACCTCTTCTAAAGCAAGGATATTGAACCATTACTTTCAATAATATATGTACAATATAACTGCACAATAATGACTTGCATAGGTAATCCTTGGATCATCTAAACCCTTTCTGGGTTGGTGGCCTGATGGGAGAGGGAAGATAAAACACCTTACAATGTGAATGTGGCCACATGTGCACACATGCACACAAACAGGCCGTGAGCATGTGCACCATGCAAACAGGGCTGCGAGCATGTGTGCAAGGCTCTCAGCGATGCCAGCACCTGCGTTAGGCTTGTGGCACTGCCACTGCCAGGCTCCCAGCAATGCTACCACCAGTGTGAGGATCATGACAATGTCCCTTGTGAGGCTCGCGCCATGGCCCATAACAATGCCACCACCTGTGCGAGGTTTGTGCTGAGGCCCATCTGCTACCTGACTCTTATGGCACTGCTGCTGCCTGTGCAAGATTCATGGCAATGCTACCATCTGAATGTGGTGCACCACCACCCATTTGCCACCCATGTTTCCGCCACCCTTGCAAGGTACATGGCAATGCCATCATCTACGCAATACTAGAAGCACTGTCACCGCCTGCACAATACTCACGGCAACAGTGGCATGTGAGGGGATGAACATGTGCACGCACACACATGCACTGCCCAGATACTCATGCAGCCCAGTGACCAAGAGGTTGGGGACATCTGTTATAAAACACTGAAATTTAAATTCAAATTTTGAACTACATACTTTGAAGAGTAAGGAATTTCACTGAGGAAAGAAGAAACCTTCCCCACCATTCTGATATCACATTTCAGAATGTTCAATTATATTGTCCACAGATGGATTATATTGTCGATCTCAAAGATAAACTGTCTTTTATACATTAAAAGATTATTAGCAATACATGCCATTAATAATGAGATACTGAAAGCTCTACAATAAAAGGCCACAGATTTTTGTGGCATCCTTGTAAAATGTCTTAGACTAGTTAATCATAAAGCATATATTAAAAATGTGCAAAATCACGTAAACTTTATGATCTTTTTGCAGTATATATACTTTTAAGCATCTAGCATCACAATATTCAATCTTAGTACAGAAATCATATAACATTACAATAATGGCTTGCATTAGTTGGCCTTGAATAATCCAATAGCAGTGAAAGTGGTATGTTGAGAATTCAGTTATATAGAATAATATAGTTAGTATGCTAATATACCAGTGGTGGAATTCAACCAGTTAGCACCATTTCAGCAGAACCGGTAGCTCATTTTTTGTTGCCCAGGCCCAGAATGGACTTCCAGAAGTGGCATCCACACAGAGAACCAGTTGTTCACATATTTGAATCCCACCACTGTAATATACTATTTATATTAGCTAATTAACACTGACATAAGATCTCTACAGCAAAAATGCCAGGTATCATTAAAGGTAAATTAACTAGATATGTTATGGGCAATCATTTAAAATTATAATATTAGCATATAGCCATTTCATAAAGTTTATATAGCAAGTTTATAATCCAGGATATATTTTGAAAAATAGTTGCTTCTTTATATCCACCAAAAGAAATCATAGAAAGCTCTGAATAAATTTGATACTTACATTTTCTTGAGTATTTTTATTAAATTTTGCACACTCTCCCTGGATTTTGGAAAGCCGAGCTGCAACCTATTGGGACTTTTCATCTTATTCAAATAGAAATGTATGTTGTGAAAACCTTCAGCAGCTACAGCATTGCAGAAATTACAGGAATGTACCCTACAGACCACAAGAGAGAAAGAGAATACTACTATTAAAGAATGCTTATCCCTGAGCTTCCAGGGGATAAAATAAGATTCAATAAAAAAAAATTGGGTGGGCGCTTATGTCATGAGCCATCCCGGAAGGAGGAAGGTGTGTGGTGAAGTCTCCTACAGAGACCACACCCCCTGGACAGAGGCCGGAGGTCCCAGTGGAAAGTCGAAGTCTGGGGTCCCTGCCTGTGCCACCTCTGCCCTGGCCTGCCTCTGCGCTCTGGAGAACTCCTTCTCCAGAGCCTGATGCCTCCTGCTGGCCTGCTTCTCCACCAATTTGGAAATGGCCTTCGCCTTATCCTTGATCCTGCCTTCTGCCTCCTGTTTGGAAGATTTGTGCCTTTCTTGGCTTGTGGATGGGGAGGTGGTGGTCATAGGTTCAGGCACCATGGAGTCCTCCATCCTGGGGCAAGCTATCTCAGGAGTTCTAAGAGGGAACTCTGGCAGGGGATCAATTGGCAGGTAGAGTAGTTGGAGCAGTGAACTGTGGGCTGCTCCCCTGGCCACCTAACCAATAGCACAATGCCCCTTCGGAGTCTGGTCACATTTTCTTGTTTGTGGCAGAGGCCAAAGCATGGTGTGGTGCCAACTATCTGGCACCGCCCGGTAGACCTTAGGTGGCCAGGCCAATACTGCACCAGAGTGGCCCAAGGTTGGGCGCAGAGGGGCCTCAAATCCAGGCCTGATGTTTGACAAAATGCTTAGCCTAGGGTACTGCATGTAGGCAGTCTGTGTGGGCTGCTTCCCTGGCCACCTTCACATGCTCAAAATGGCAGCCGTCCAGAAATGTGAAGGCTAGGTACAGGCCTGGCCTGGTAATAGGCAACTAAGATGGCGGCTGTGTGAGGCTAATGAGGCCCATACGGAGCCCCCAATGTGGAATGGTTAAAAAACCAGCCGGGCCAGGCTAGCAGCGCCAAAAAGGGTGACCACACCTGAGAAGTAACCTGCAATGGTGAGAGGAGACCAAAAGGACCAAAGTTCCCCTAAGGCAAGGCAGCAAGGCATGGCCAAGATGGCAGCCGCCCTGATTGCCGTGACTGGAACAGCAACTAATGGCTCCACAGTGGACGCACAGGCCTTTCCCCCTGCTCGGACTGAGCTGAGGGCAGCGTTTGGGGGCTGCAGCTCTTGAAAGAAACCCCCTCCCCCCTGAGAGCTTTTGTTAGCAGCCACGGCTTTTTTGCGGCAACCAAAATGGCGACTGCAACTGTCCAGCACTTGTGGAGATTGACGGAGGCCAAGGAGCCTCGTGCAGCTTCCCTGGGCAGCCTAGGGAAGATTCAAGCTGCAGCACTGAGTACAGCTCTGGCATAGCTAAAATGAGGAGTGAGGGAAAGGAACTAAGTAAGAAATTCCCCATAGCCCTGGGGAAAGAGAAGGGAAGAAATTACACTCCCCTCAGCCTTCAACAGCCGATGCTGAGAAGACTGTGGGGGTGAGAGGAGAAGAGAAAAATCTACTAATTTCAAATAAGACTGGATGAGAGGAGAGGAAAAAAATTCACTAATGGGAGAACTCAATACCTGTCAGACCTTGAGAGCCAAACCTGACACGTCTTTTAGGGCTGGAGACCAAGTCAAGACTGGGGTTCTCCTAGCCCAGCAGGGGGCATAACAAGTTTAGCTGACTTGGTCTCAAAGGCAGGAAGACAGAGCAAGCCCATTGGTGGATTCTCTATCTCCTGTGCTGGAGAAAAAGAATGCTACTATTAAAGCATGCTTATCCCTGTGCTTCCAGGGGATAAAATAAGTTTCAATAAAAAAATAAACATCTTTGGAATATCATTTCCCCCAAGGTGAGATTAGCCCTGATCCTACTGGCATTTAGAAAAAAAAGTCAATAGGGGGGAATCACAAAGAAAGGAGGAGTCTGTAAGATGGCTATATTGTATGGAGCACTCGCCACATTTTTATTTTTATTCTGCTTTTATTTGTAATTGTGTCTGATTGTTTTTAACTCTTGTTTTAATTGTTCCAACTGGCTGTTATTGTATGCTAACCAGAGTCATGTTTGTGAGAAGGGCAGCAGCTATATATGGTACATCTATTAAATAAATAAATAAATCATAAACCCATTAACTCTGATATCTGTGACAAAGATGAGTTACTAAGAAATTACATTCATAATTTAAAACAAAATTACAACCAGTTGTTGCCAATTTTGATAACTGAATATTACCATAGGGTTTTTAAGAAGTGTAATATAATTTGCTAAATAAAGAAAATAGAAGAGGGCCGTCAAATGCACTTCTAACTTCCTAGGCTTTTGTGATTAATCCCTGTTAAAAAGAGAAGACACACTTTTGAAACAGCAGGTCTTTGGCCTGTTCTAGTCCATTAGATATTTGCCTCTACTACTTGAAACCAGATCAGCCCATTATTCTCTAAGACTTGCTAGTAGAAGAAAAGAAAGCATTTTCTACTGGATTATTTTTGCTTTTGCAAAATTGCTCAGTAAAGGTAGAAGGAAAAATGGTAGTAATCCCTAAAATGAATATTTTTACAGGACTCAAGAATAGGAATTTTTTATTTATTGTATTTTATTCATTACATTTTTATGCCACCCATCTCCCTATAAGGTGTTTGGGTGGCATAATATAAGACAAAATAATATTAAGTAAAAGTTTAGCAATGCTGTGTGAGATGAGAAGATCCTTGCTTTAAAAAAATGCTATGGTAGCAGAAAGACAGAACAAAAACTAGAACAGAAAATAGAAGTGAGACTGCCATAAAGATCAATCACCATAGTTTGTTTTTCTCTTCAGCAGGTCAATACTTGCTCCTGTCCTAAAATCTCTGCCCACCTCTTGTTTTGGATTGCTGTTATTTCAATTAGACAACTATTGTTTTTAATCAAGCTCCATATAATTGAGGAAGATCAAGGAAACAAGAACTACACATTTTTAGTAAAGTAGTTTTAATTCAACTCTGAAATAAAAACAGACTTCTGAAAACTGTAAGAGAAATTTCCCATCTACATTTATTGTGAGATAATTATGGGATAGTCTTCTGAAATAATTTGAAATGCTTCTTTCCAGGTTTCAGAGGTGTTATTCATATGATAAGCTGCCAGCTGATTCTCCTATCTCTGGTTTATGTCTAATCTCCTTTTCATTTCTTTTCCAGCTTCCTTATATCTTTCCTACTTCTAATCTTTCTTCACCTAACTTCCCAATGTTTTCCTGCTACCATAACCACTTCCTACCTCCCATGTTCAATTTTATGCTTTGCAACATATGTATGATTCCTTCAATTTAGTGTATAATAATAGAAGACGGAATTTAACTTAGAAAAAGTTCCCATGAACTAGCTCAAATCTGCCAATAAGCACCACTGTCAGTTCCATCCTTGTGATTGCTGTCAAGAAGGGGTAAACTAAATTACCCTAGAAACCTGATCATAAGCAACAAAGTACACACATGCCCCATCCTAGAAAAATAAATAGAAAACTTTTTTAAAACAAAAAATCTTAAAACTGGAAGCAAATAAAATTTCATGAGAATGCCATTGAAACTTGAATTACAAATTCAAACTTTGTTGGAGTTAGGAAGGAAGGAAGGAAGGAAGGAAGGAAGGAAGGGAGGGAGGGAGGGAGGGAGGGAGGGAGGGAGGGAGGGAGGGAAGGAAGGAAGGAAGGAAGGAAGGAAGGAAGGAAGGAAGGAAGGAAGGAAGGAAGGAAGGAAGGAAGGATCTAGCAACAATTAAATAAATAGACATCACTGTTATAAATGTATTACTGAATTTATTGATTGACTCATCCTTGTAAACATCTGCCTTGCTCCTTTATAGCATATTGCTTTATGATTAATGTATGTACTCTTATTAGTTGTTTGCACTGATCCTCAATTGACTTGTAAGCAAAATTATTTTGAAAAAGCTTTATTTCTTTTTAAAAGTAGAATTTGAGAATATATTTTATTCAATGCCCTTATAAAGCAAAGAGACTGACTTTCTGTGTACAATATTATACACAATTTACAATATTATATACAGTTTGTCTTTATAAACATTGAGTTAGATCAAAATTTAAATGACACATTCTCATAAAGGAAATTTCATATTGTTAAACAATAATCTCCTTCCAAGTGTTCTCAGGTTTGCTAAATAATATTGAGCAGCATATTTTGGGGCAATTATATAAACTTTCTCTGTTTTTCTCAAGGATCTAAAAGCATTAAAAAAAAGTCTACAATTATGCTGTCAAATCTATCAAAATTATCTCTCTGGGAAATGAACACTATCAGATCTGAGCTGGTTGTCTCCTGTCCATTTCATTTTGTTGTACAAGATTTCTAATAATAAAAAAAATGCCTACATGAATAAAATTTCAACATAAAACAATTCTTCTTGTAGAAGAATTGATACATATGAATAACTTTTAGTCTCAGTTATTATATTGCTTCTTAACTAGTGAAAAGTAAGGGATTCCCAACAGATGGTGTGAATAGAAAAGGCGGGTGAAAGACAGGAACAAAATGAATGGAGGAATGTTCAGACGGATACCACATATTGTTTAGCAAAACGTCTCACTTTCAGAGCATAATAATGTACTTCATTCAAATTAATTAGGAAATACCTTCTTGTAATATGTATTAGTCTGTTTAATGCCTAACACATCTGTAGCTTTTCCAAGGCATATACTTTTGGACATAAAACAATCTGTTAGAGAAATACAGCCAGCCTAAAACAAAATGGGCATACCCAGAGTGGGATTCAGCCAGTTCACACCAGTCCAGCAGAACCACTAACTAATTTTTTGTTGCCCAGGCCCAGAATGGAAGCAACATCCACACAGAGAACCAGTTGTTCACATATTTGAATCCCACCACTGGGCATACCGATATTTCTAAAATTATGAGGTGGGTAAAATGAGGAGCCAGATTGTTGGGGGCAATATGCTGACTCTGTAAACCGCTTACAGATGGCTGTAAAGCACTGTGAAGCTGTATATAAGTCTAAGTGCTAATGCTATTGCTATATCTGCCACCAGAATGTACTTTGTTCTAGCTTTGTGTTTTCACAGCTTTCCTACCATTGCTTGAATCTTTGCTGCAGTTATAAGCAAAAAAGGAAATGTAGTTTGAACAGAGAACTAGCTTTTGACAGACACTTGTAAGATAAGATATATTACTTTATACTTTCTAAATCGTACAAAGTTTCTAGGATTAGTTTGCTCAGCAGTGTAGGACTGTAGCATTTATTTGTAAACTATAGATTGCTCCTCTCTTTGCATTGAGATTTAGGTTTTTGTTTTGTTTTGTTTTTCTGGGAGTTTTGGCAATATTTTTCTTCTCCTGTCCTTTATTACAGTGAAAGAAAAAAATATGGTAACATTATATGGACAGTACACCATGAATGGTCTCCAATGTTAATGGATTCCATTTTAAACAATAATGAGGAGAAAAACATGCCCATGTAAAACTTGGACTCAAAATTGGACTATGAATTGGACATGCTTTTCTCAGAGGTAGGACAAAATACACTTTGAAACAACAAACAAATATTTCTGCTCAAGCAGAAAATAAATTTACCATTAGCTACCGATCTTTATATTTGACAGCTGCTTTGAGGCACATGTTGGTAACAACTGACCTAATATCATTGCCTGATTCTTTTTTACATTAAATACAGATTTAGAAAAATGAATTACCCTATTGTTCTTTTTTCAGGAATACCTGGCAATATGGGCTTTTTTTTAATGAAGATCTTGGGATAAATATTCATAAATTTTTGATGAGCTTCTTCAGTGGAGCATAAATCCTCTCTAAAAAAAAGAAGTATGAAAAAAAGCAATAAGACTGTGTTTCAGATATATTCTAGGAAATATTATTGCTAATTGCAGAATTGTTTCAGTTGGACGGCCTTCCCCAGCCTGCTAATCTTAGGATGAGATGACCCAATTCTTAAGATTTTTCAGCCAGTACTGATCACTTAGAGAAATACTTTAAATTCTTTGTATAGTAATCAAAAGTGATATAGGACTGACTTGGAAGTTCTAAATTCTGAGAAACCATTGTGAAGAATCTAGAACAGGGGTGTCAAACTGCCGTTCCATAGGCCGGATACATCACCAGGAAACTGCGCCCACCCCATTGCCAGCAATGGAAAAAAAGTTCCGATATGTCACACAACGTGATGTCGCGAGTTTGACATGTCTGATCTAGAACTTCCATGATTTTTTTCTTTTCTTTTTTCATATCCTAGCTAAATTATAGGTAGGTGTCTTTAAAACTATCCTCAGTTTCAATCAAGATGTATTTTTTACTTATTTGTGTACATTATTTTATAGAGTTCATTTTGAGCTAGAATATTTCATTTTGAATTGTGTTTTCTTTGAAAGTACCTTCACCCAGGAAAAGAAAATCCAGTGCTGAAAATATAGAATTATAACAGGAAAATGTAAAAAGTCTAAACACAGGAAAACTTAACACAATGAAATATGAAATGAAACAACTAAAACTGACTTCTTAGACATCATCAGCAAATTGAGAACATTTGAGGCACAAATGACCAGGATCACGCTATCTTATTTTGGACACATTATGCAAAGATCTAGCTCTTTGGAGAAGGGTCTAATACCAGGGTAAATGGAAGGAAAGAGAAGGATGACCATCAACAAGGTAGACAGATTCAGTTGCAGGGATAATGAGTGCACCATTTATGACTTGAAAGACCAGGATACAGACAGATCATCATGGAGAAATCTTATCTATGTAACTAGAAGTCAAAAATGACTTAATGGCACATAATCGCCCTTCCCAAAACATTTCTTTCCTTCAAGTATATTAAAATGGCAATTTTGGAAAGAGATCATTTGCTTTAGTAAGGTCAAGCAAGGGTTTGATTTTGTAACATCCCATTCTTACTTTCCAGATGTGGTCACCTCTGACAGTTCCTTCAGCCTACAGAAAAAATAGACAGTTCAACTATATTTTCAACATCAGAGCCAAAGAAGTTAAAGAAAACCCAAGCTATTCTATTTTACCATTTTATTTCAGGGCATAATGCCATAGCTAGCATCTATAAGTACATTTTAGTAACTAAGTTATATGGAGTAAAGTTATATATAATCAAATTTAAGCACAAAGCAACTTAGGAAAAAGCATGAAAAAATCAAAAAGATGTAGAAAAGTGTTGTAAAACAGGAAAGAAAATGCAAAGAGAGAAAGAGAAATGAATACATACATACATACATACATACATACATACATACATACTTGCATACATGAGAAAATTGAGAGCAAGGGCTAAATGTTAATATTTAGCTCAATGGTTCTCAACCTATGGTCCGTGGACCTTTGTGGGGGTACAATGTCATCACAGGAGGTGCAAAGGCTTGAAGAAATGATTTAAATCTTGAATTAAGTCTTGAAGGTCTGTAGCCATGCTCCATGGCTACAAAAGGTATTTAAAGGGGATCCATGATGAAGAAAAGGTTGAGAATCATTGCTTTAGCTTCCATAACTTTATTATATATTAAAACAGAAAGAGACCAATTTCAGAAATATGTCAGAGGTGGTTTATCAGACTGAGGACTTTTAAGCTGTCCATTTATCTGGCTGCTATAAGGTTCATTTGGCATGGTAATAGGTGCTCATTATGAGCATTTTAACTTTTGATTTATTTTTTTCTCAGATTGGAGAGAAATGTAAATCTGTATCCTCCATATTGAAAACCTGCAGGTGCAGTTTGAGATGCATGTAACTAATTTCACCATCATCTAAGAATACTCTGACTAAAATTTCTTCTTTAATTATGTACTATCTTGAAGAAAATTGTCCTTAATTATGCATAAGTATATTTTTGAAATGTCCTGAATTTAAAAGTTACACCACCGGAAAACAATTATTCAAGCTCATATCATTCAGCTCACTATTTTATTTTCCTTATTTCATGATGTCTTTTTTTTTAAAAAAAAATCATTCCATAATTCATGGACAGAAATATATTTATTGATAATCCCTTGTTGAATAGTTGAGCAATGATTAATCAATGCATAGATTCAAAACAAAAACTAAAGTTTTGTTTTCTGGTTTGCTGTAATGACATACTAAATTTAAGGTTAGGTTACTTCTAATTAAGTGGTTATCTGCTTATGTTTTAATTGCTTCACTGCTTAATTGGTAAACATAAAACTAATTAGTGGCACCTTTCTTATGGATCCAAAATCAAGAAGACAGAGAAAACAAAAGTCTCTTCCTCCACTGTTACTTGCTCATGGGAAAAATGTTTTCTAAACTGGCATTAGACCAGCTGACACTTTTAGTTGAGTTAGCTTGAAAGAAATGAGCTTCTGTCTATATGAAAAATTCTTGCCTATGGTATACAATTTTTTAGAATGAACAGATCTGTATTTATCAAAATTATTATGGATAAGATGAATCACAAACTTTAAATCAGATATTTGATATTTGTTTGGCTTGTTAAATGAGTACACTGATCAACATTCAACCTCACTAAGTAAAAACCTAGAAAGTTAACAATATAATAATAAAAACAAAAGGAATAAAAGATGGGAAAATCAGGCAACAACAATAGACAGACTTACACAATGCAGAAATTGCAGTGGGCAAGCGAGATAAACCAAAACCATCCCCCCTCCCTCAGTCCATGGAAAAATTGTCTTTCATAAAACCGGTCTCTGTGCTAAAAAGGTTGGGAATGGCTGCTATAGGAGATAGCATAAGATGTAACCAATAATTATGCACTATGCCACCATAAATATAAAAAATGGCAGAATTGAAAAGTGTCATGATTGATTCACATGGTAATAATTGATATACCTGGTAATAATGTTATTTAATTGATTCCAAGAAGTGTATTATAGTTTTGCATAAGAGATTAAGGTTGAAATTCTCTAACTACATGCAGATTTGACAGTAAACCTTGTTAAATTGAATGGGGTTAAGATCTGAAATCTAGAGAACAGGAGATCATTTATTCCACCGAAGCAGATGTTTATAGCTCAGCATCACAATCCATACTGAACTGATATCCCATTGCTTCATTTTGGTAAGGACAATAATTCTTTATCACTCCAATAATTCCAGCAAAAGAAAACCAATAGTTTCCACTTTAAAAAATAACAAGTGGTATAAATCAGTATAAAGAAAATTTTTATCCCTATTTATATAGGCTAGGTGCAATGCCTTACTAGTAAATTTAAAAAGGTGTATAATTTGTATAGACAGTTACTATTGTTAATAAATATGCTGATGTTGATATATAACAAACAGCACAATAATATGAAGAAAATGGATGCTTCTGCTGATCAAAATCCCTTCTGACTGTTTTTTGGGTGTTTTTTTGTTTGTTTGTTTTTTGACAACTTAGTTGTGGCAGCAGCTTAAGGAAAAAACAGTTCCTTGGACTTTCATAGTTTCAAGCCAACTATCAGGTTTTTTATTGTAGCCTGAGGGAAACCTGTGTCAGATCAAAGCAATAAAATATATCCCTTTTAAGTAAGTTAATTCCATCAGTCTTGTTTCTGTTGCCTTGATAGATTTAACTGGAAATATTAAGGCTTTTCCATTCCTGGCTACATGACTTACAAATCTATGAAGCCAAGTCCTTAAAACTGCCAGTGTAGTTTTAAACCATTACAATCCAGAAGCAGTAGTTCTGAATGCCTTCATATGGATGAAATTCTTGGTACATTGTCAGAAAATACTCTAAAATGTTTTGTCTTGGCCAAGGCAGAGGTGATGTTTGATTTTTTAAAATGGAAACAAAGAATACCCACATAAGATTCCAGTTCAGATGAGAATCACAGCAGCAACACTGAAAGATGGATAAATTTATTTATTCATTGGATTTATATCCCAGTGTTATCAAAGAAAGACTCTCAGCAACTCACAATAAAAACTTTCTTCCCATAGTGTTTTCAAATAAACTTTGATTGGCTATACTGAGATATTATGTTTGAATAGTAGATCATTTTAGATCCAGTATTTACTGCAATCACCTTATGAGGACATTCCTTTATAAGGCCATAAGTGGTGTGTGTGTGTGTGTGTGTGTGTGTGTATGCTCATCTGGGTATGTATGTGTGTGTGTGTGTGTGTGTGTGTGTGTGTGTGTGTGTATATATATATATATATATATATATATACACATACATACATACATACATACATACATACATACATACATACTGTTGAGTCTGTGGCGGGAAAACAGACACGAGAAGCAGCTGGAGTTCTCAGTTTCATTTATTCAGCGTTCAGCTTACAGGAAGATGGCTTCAGCCTCGCCCAAACGCCTCGCAGCCTCTTATATAGGCAACTCCCGGGTAAATGGGTTACTTTTCCAGCGCCAGCACCCGCGCATGCGCACGGCGCTGGCGACAGCCTGTCTGGTCCCGGGCAGCTTTGCACCTGCCGGGACTGCTGCAAACGCCCGAGCCGTTTGCAAGGCTCGGGACATAACACCCCTTTCCCCCGGGCTAAAACTACTATCAACATACAACATTTATTTTATATGACATTTTGCTCCCCAGTGCTCCCACTGTTTACTGGCTTTTGCCTTGCCAGCAATGTTATGTAATCTTCTAGGTACTTAGGAGATTTCTTTGCTCTCTGTGACCTTCTTATCTCTGGGTTACTGGCATAAGTTCCCTGACTGGAGGGAGGCGTGAGCCTGTTCTCTCTATTGTGCCCTGGTGTCTTCCAAGGACTGTGCCCCGATGCCTGCCCTGCTTGCTTGCCCACCGGGCTCGTCAGGCCAGGGCTTCTGTTGCTTTGTGACCTGGTTGACCTACCTAGCTGTAGACCCTCAGGCCCCTTGAAGTGATAGCCGCTGCTGGGCGTCTCTGTAGAACCTCCTAGGTCAGTCCAA